AGCTGTGGGCCGACGAGTCGGTGCAGCTGGAGCTGGAGAGCTGCTTGCGCAACCAGCACGTTTTCAACCGCATCGCGGAGGTGTTGAGGGAGAAGGGCATCCACCGCACGGGGGACCAGTGCCGCGAGAAGATCAAGAAGATGAAGCTGGAGTACCGCCGGATCAAGGACAACAGCAAGGCGCCCAGGGGGGGCCGGACGTGGAAGTTCTACGAGGTGATGGACCGGGTGCTGAACAGCCGCCCGGCCCTGCCCTACGGCCCCCTGCCCAGCAGCGTCATGGCCCAGCAGGTGCTGCAGGGCAGCATGGTGGACAGCTACCACCAGTTCGCCGCGTCCGCCCTGCCCTTCGGACACTCCCAGCACCCTGAACTGATGGAAATCAAATGTGAGGAGGTGAACTCTGATGAGCACTGCTTGACCCCAGAGCCCCCACCATCCATGTCTTACCAGCAGGGCTCCCCTGAAGAACATGAGATGGAGAGAGCCTTCTTGGAGAGGGCCCAGAACGACTCTCCCATCTCCAGGGTGGAGATTCCCATTGAAACCAGTGTTTCACCTTCAGGTAGGGATAGCCTCTTACATTCCAGCATAAGGTTTCTGCCTTGTTTCCCAGAAAGAGAGATTGTTTCTGGGGCAGAGATAGACACCTGGTTTTTGCACTGACGCTTGGAGCCTTGTTTTCCACGTCCCAAAAAGCTTTAAAGTAGAAGGATGGTATCTGCGTTAATGGTCTTCTGGCAGTCCCTGAAACGTATCTTACTGCAGGTAACTGAAATTGAAATTATTGCTCTGGGCGAAATACTGTGTATGAAATTCTAAGGATCGTCACATCTGCTATCAGCTGGGATAGGCATTTGTGCTAAATTTCTGCACGCAATGCTGACAGCACTTAACCATGCTGAAGTAGCATCTGCATGCTTTTTGGTATCACTTGAAGATTACCAGGGCTGTCTGCAGTCCTCATGCTGAATTGTATCAGGAGACCCTCTCCTTTCATTGCTACGGTATGGACCTGCAGGTGAAACTTTCTTCGTTTTCTTTTTAAGTATGTTTTGATTCTAATTGTTTGGGACACTCAACGAGGAAGAATACTTGGGAGTAATCAATGCCTGGCTTTCCAATCCACTAATTAGTGTTTGGAAAGAAGAGGTCTTTGAAAGTCACTGTCACAGAGACAGCTTATCTGTTTAAAGGCAAAGAGACTTTTCCACTGAAACCACAATTCACAGAATATTTGGCTTCCAAGAAACATAGTGTCTGGAAAGCACAGAGTTTTCAAACCAGTTTAGGACAGGTTGATGGAAGAGCACGGCATGACTGTAAAGAAGAGAGATGGTAATCAATGTGAGGTTAATTTTGGAGATCGGGAAGAAATCCTGTGTCGTCTTCACCATGATGGTTGTGCAGTTAGCCAAGCGCGGTGCTGGTAGAGGGAACTGACAATCATTACACTTAATTCAGAGGCTGAGTACGGAACTAGTTCAGTGGTTGGCAGCATAATGGGGAGCCCAATATGTGAAGATGATGAAAAATATACTTCTCTCAAACTTGAAGATGGGGCTGACAGATCCTGCTTCAGTTTTCCTGTAAAATTTTACTGTGGGTAGTCTGGTGTTTTCTACAAAGGGCAAGGGAAGGCAGCAGGCATGTTCGCGCCGGTTTACTCGCTGCACAGTTAATTTTTCTTCTTACTTTTGAATGTTCACAGGTTTCAGTGAGCCCAACATGGCAAACTCATCACGGATCCAGAACGTGGTGCCTCGGCCTGGCTTCTCTGCCTTGCATCGTTTGAGGAAAAAGCGGAAAGGCCAGCGAGTGAAGGACCCGCTTGATGATCTCCTGCTGA